ATCGGAAAGGTGTTCTTCTTCTCCACAGCAATACACATCCACATGTGGTACTTTGACGCAATTCAAGATTATGAAGTTGGGTTGGGAAGTTCTTCCCCACCCACCATATTCTCCAGATATGGCACAATCAGATTACCTCTTTTTCATTTGCTGCAAACACCATCTTATTGGGAAAAACGTATGCAAATGTGGCAGGTATTAAAGAGGACATCGACATGTTTTTTGCTTCAAAGCCAAGTGATTTCTATAATCAGGGCATTCACAACCTGATTGTAAGATCAAAAAGCATCATCGATAAGAATGGAGACTATTTCATTTAATAAGCGTTCGGGTTTTTTCCTCTAAAGAAAAGCAACATTAATTTCTTGATGACCAAATATATCAGATTTTATAACTTAAGTAAACATATTAATTCTAACTCTTTCAGCAGTTTATTACTAAAAAAGGTTTTGTCCTTTTGTAATATTTTTAATGTAATTCTCAAAGAAGAATGAAAGAAAATTTCAAACTTGCATTTCTGCACAGCTTTGAGGGGTCTAGCCAATAAACATCACACTTATCTATTTTTCAGAATTTTTCTGCCCATCCCAAAAAATAGATTTATTTTTGCTAAGAGGCTATCATTCTTTGATAGTATAATTATCTACATTTTGTTTCTCTTGTAATTTTATTTCACTTTCACTGATTTTATTAGCACAGCCTCATGATCTCACAGCATGTTTTCTTAACAACTACTAATGAAATTCTTTGTTTTCTTTCAAAGTTTGTAGTGCATACTAGAGGAAACAAACGCTTGTCAAACATGTCATAAAAGGAAGCTATCAACTCTACTAGCACTTAAAAGCAAAAACACTGTTTCATAATAACGAGAAGACACAGAAATATTCCAAAAAACAATTACAATAGAAAATGATATAAAATTTCAGCTCAATGCTATGTCACTTTTTGTGAAAGGTCCAAACTTTGCTTTAGGTAGGAAACTTACAGACATCACCAGTCTAGACATTTTAACAGCTCTTAAAAAGAACATCATGAACCTAAAGAAAAAATCAACACCTCAAAAAATTTGACACAAGAAACTATAGAAAACACAAGTCAAATCTCCGACGATACCCCAGACAACATTCGTCTATCTTCTACTGACCAACACCCACTAGAGGATACAAATCACCGAGAACAAAATCATAATCATCTATCATTCAGCAATCACTCATTTGACTCACAGAAGTATCAACCACCAAAAACATCTACAGTCACAGAACAAAAAATCTCATTTTTACAGTACCAGATTAAACATATTCTAGCTACACATGAAAATCATCAAGAAAAAGATAACATCTCATCAGCAGAAAAGTCAGTTATAAAAGAACCCTGAAGGAAAGACAATCTAATCTTAAAAGAAGGAAAATATTTTATAGTTTTAACCAAAAACAATTACCAAGGTAAAATAGAAGAATACCTTCAAGACACTTCCACCTGTACTATATTAAACAAAAATCCAACCAAATGAAGTCCTGATATGAACAGTCATAAGGCTATATAGGCTTTATGTAAAAACTGAGAACATCCAAAAGGCAACCAAAACAACTTGGTTTAATTGTTGGGAGTATGACATTTGAAACTATTCCATAATTGTAAATTGGCAAACTGTATGGCAATATAAAAACAAGATGTAATGTTCTGTATAGAGCAACGTACTCACATACAGAATATTAATGCACTATACATCATATTTTCTTTTGTTTTGTATTTTCTGTGATAATGTTACTGTACATCTATATACCAATAAGATATGAATGGATTTTGTATATTATGTTGTTTTTTATTTTTTCAATACATTTTGTAGATACACAGTATTATAGCTTAGGGTTATTGTAGTAGCTTAATTGCAAGAAAGTGTCCCACTTCCTTTTTTAGATTCACGTAAAAATTTCAGAGAATAATACAGTTGAGTTATGGATCTTTAATGAGTTAATATTATTGTATATTTTCTCTTAAATAGCTCGTGATGTGGAAATATCTGTCTTTATAAATAGTGTTGTTTGTATGGAAAATGCTACTGTTTTTGTGAAATACTTTAATGCATTAGGTTCTGATTTTTCTCTTTTTTTTTTGCTTTTCAT